GTGGCGCTTATCCTTATCGTGAAAAAAAGACGTACAAGGCAAGCATGTAAAAAGCCTGGCAATAATGATGTGGAAAGGCTTGATGTACAGGGGAGTATAAGGCCAGCCAAGGACGAAAAGTCTAATCAACTGCCACTTCCAGTGCAAGAAAGTGAGTATCTCACAGTAGCGAAGCCGGAAACACAACTTCCGGCTGAAACAAAAGTATAATCATTCCTTTTTTCAAGGGATCAGTTAGTATTTTTCGCCTGGGGTGGGGCGAAGGATTTTGGAGGATCACGTGATTTTCAGGGAGAAGGGGGGGGTCAGTCGTCGCCAACAGAGTACAAAGGGCGGACTACAGAAAATTGACTACCGATGAACTGCCAAACTCCTCCACCCCCATGGCCGATAAATAAAGACCAGTCCCTAATGAATCATTGTCGTCACCTTCAGCGGTAATTTTCGATGAAAAAGGGAATTTACTGTTTCCTTTTCATTGTTTAGTTACAAGAGTGGTTATTATGCTATATGGTGATAGCACGTTTAGGGTTATCGCAAAACTAATATAATCATCTCGAGGAGCTACTTTTACATCTTCTAATTAGATTTAATACAGACAAGCGGATCCGTAATCGGCTTTGAGGAAATTTCTGAAAATTTTAGAATAGACTTATTATCTATGATTATAGTTCCATAAATTAATTTAGTCACCTTCGGCGGGATCCTATTGTTTCCTGTTCATCGTTTAGTTTTAAGAGTGGTTATTATATATGATCTGATGAAAGCACTTTAAGAATTAACGCATAACTCAGGTTGTTTTTCCGAAGGGTTTGGCTTTGAGTAAATTTCATCATACAAGGAAATACTTCTTAGAATAGTTAATTGCTAATTTTTGGCAGACTTCCTTTTAAGTGTGTTTCTTGGGGGAAACCCTTTCATGATACCTTTTCGAAACATCAGCTTAACATATTGATTTCTTCTGGTTTTTATCATCTTGGAACATGTGTTCAGCTGTCATTTAGTTTTATTGCTTTAATGTAATTGTTTAGAATTAAGGTTGAGCTATCAAATAGATATGAA